CCTGTACATAGAACTCCAGACTTTCAGTGTATACATGCAAAAAATGTGATCTCCTACATCTGCATTGAATGTGTTTGTGCAACTGCTCACAATCTTCATTCTGTTCATATTTTTCATATTTTCCTTTATGACTGAATCTCATTATTCTTGAGTATTCACAGCATAAAATTGTGACATCTGTCTCTGCATTTTTTCAGACCTTTGACTCATCACATTTTGTTCATGATAATACCAATTATCAGCATGACTTCAGAATTCAGGTTTCCTCCTCCCTTTCATTTGCTCTTCACAAGCCAACTTCCCTCAGTGGCTCAACTGAGCCAGTGTCTCCCAGAGAACACAGCCAGCCCATGCAGCCAAATGGTTTAGGGGAATCATTATGCACAAATCCTGAAATTTACTCCATTTCAGAAGTTTCATACTGAAATTATGATTAATATGTGATTTCTTGTTTCTCAAAACAAGCATAGCACTGACTGTGGGCAGGATGATCTACTAGCACTTGCTTTTCCTTTATTCTCATACAGAAAAGTAAGGCTTGGATGCTCAGAAACATCCACTTGTGGGTGGACTTTGTGCCACAGGATATGTCACTAAATGAATATAAAATAAAATGGCAGAGAGTTTTAAAAAAACATAAGGTATATTTCTCAGTCAAATTAATATTTTCTTAACTGAGCAGTCAAGAAATGCAGACATAAGAAAGCCTTCATGAGACAGCTATCCCACAAAGTCTTTTTCTCCTCCTTGGGATTCCAATCTTTTTCAACAGTGAATACCTACAAGATGATATTAAGGCTTTTAACTGGTTAGAACTTGTGCAGAGTGCTCTGTCTTATTCATGTCCATGCGAGGGTTTTTTGTGAAGAAACAGATCCAGCTGAGGGAAGTTCAGTACTATTACAGTGGCATAAGAGACTAGTCCAAAATAATAAACACTTAGAAAGGATAAAATTATCAAGTACAAAGCACTCTGTAAACATCTTTTAATCCTCAGATGTTCCAGTGCCAGTTTCCCCTCCCCTCTTTATAAACCAGGCTGTCCAAGGCCACACAACAAGTCAAGAGCTGAGCCAAAACTGCCTTCTGATGCTTGAATTCCAGTTTTGAAACCCAAATGTATCTCTCCTCTTTTATTTCTACACTCTGACCACTACTCAAATTGCTTCTTTTCAAAAAAATATAGAAAGAAAGATTATTGAAGCCTTTTGACCCTTGTGCCCAGCAAATCCAGTCCTTGGGCTGCCAAGGAGCTTTGCAGAACACAGTGCTTTACAGTTTTGTGGTCTCTGTAGTTCAAAGTAACTTTAACCTCAGCAGACATCAGATATTAACTTCTTTTTCCATATCTGAATGGCATCTGGATTCACACAATATTCTTTCCCCTTAGCAACAGTTTTGTTTGGTGACTTGCAGGGAGACAAGCAACCTTAGGGAGAACAGACTCCCAAGAACACAAGTAATCAGTAATAAACCAATAAAGCTGCCAGAAGGGCAACTACAGCATTTCCCAGGTTGGAGACATGTCTAGGTTCACAGTCATGCTGTTATCTTCAAAGTCACTTGATTGTTTCTATTCCTTCATCATAGCAACAGCTTCCTTTCCTCCCAGTTCAGCAATGACATCTTGCATCCTCCCTATCCATAAAACAGATCCCTGCCTCTAGCATTGTGCTGATGAAGAATTCTGCTTTCCTGATTGATTGTCAGCCAAGACTGCTCAGATGCAAGTGAGGGTGATTCAAGCTTTTGGATAAACAGTCTTAAGTTCCTGCATACCTGAATCTGAGCCAGATTCCTGCAGTAGCATTGCTCACTAGAGCTAGCTACCATCTCCAGATCCCAAACAGCATTTGAGCTAAGCTCTCTTGAAAGGATGTCAGTGTTGAGATATATCATTAGTACATGGAAAATAATCTCCAGCTTTGAGTCTTTGGTAACATATAAGGCTGCACAGTTCTTTTCTGTATTTATAGTACAGACTTTTTGTTTAACATTTGTCTACCTCATGTATCAATGGCACATATTTTCATAAATTAAAAGCATTAATGTGCTGTCTTTTGATGAAGCAGCTCTAGCTTCAGTTTAGCCTAAATCCTATCAAAGACTCCTTTAATTCTAACCACAGATGCACAGAAATAAAGAGGACGATTTCTTTTGTTACATTTGGAGGGGTTCACAAGCTCTATCAGGTCCCTAGAATATTTGTTGCATTTTCTTTCTCCACTGTTCTTTCATCTTTCTTCTCAAATCTTTATCTAAAGTACACTTATTGCACATCTCAGCTAGACAAGGCAAAATCTGTTTGCACTCCTTCTATGGTCCCAAGCTAGAAAAAATTTTTCAACATGTGCCTATCCCATAGGACATATTTTCTAGAGGAAACTTTCTTGCAAAGCAGAGAATCCACTGTGCTTGGTGTGATCATTTTTGCATGAGCACACACAAGGAAACCATGAAGTCTTTCATTCCCTTATACTTGGCAATGGTGAAGCCGCATCTCAAAACCTGTGTTCAGTTTTGGCCCCAAAAAAAGACATTGAGGCACTGGAGCATGTCCAGAGAAGAGAAAGGAAGTTGGTGAAGGGTCTGGAGCACAAGTCCTTTGAGGAGCAGCTGAGGGAGCTGTAGTTGTTTAGCCATAGAGAAAAGGAGGCTCAGGAGAGACCTTATCACTCTCTGCAATACCTGAAAGGAAGCTGTAGCCAGATTGGAGTTGATTGCTTCTCTCAAGTAACAAGTGACCAGACCAGAGGAAATGGCCTCAAGTTGTGTCAGGAAAGGTTTAGAATGGATATTAGGAAAAATTTCTGACTGAAAAGGTGATCAGGCATTGGAAGTGGTTGCCCAGGGAAGTGCTCAACAGGCATGTGGATGTGACACTTTGGGAAATGGTGAACAAGGTGGTGCTAGGTTAATGGCTGGCCTCAATGGTCTTAAAGGTCTTATCCAACTTTAATGATTCTATGATTTTATGTGTGTGGAAAATAAAGAGGGGTGGAAGTGGCAACTCTGTCAGAGCTGGGTTTCTGAAAGACAGGTGAAAGGCAATGCAAGGCAAGGCTGAGTATGCTGTGCAAACACTATTCTTTTTTTTGTGTGTTTCAAAGGAGGCTGTTCAGAGCTGGGAGATTCAAATGCCACCAGAGCTGGTTGTCAAAAGTCAGTAAAATGAAGACTTGATGTTATCATCAAAGGTGTAGTATCTTCTGCTGTTCTTGTGAAGATCTTGTAACCTCACTTTAAAAATTCATCACCTTTGTGGCACTGTACTGTGGCCCTTGACTGAATGGCATTTGTGAGTCTCTTCAAGGGCCCACAGATTGTGAGGGTTTTCAGAAATTCTTAGTGATTCTTTTTCCCCACTTCCCTTTGCCTGGGAGTAAAGTACTTGATTATTAGTAACTGCAGAATACATTTATCTGAAGAAGGAAAGTGAGGCTTTGAATGGTAGGGGTGTGACCCACTCTACAAACTGGACTTAGACATGTTTATCTATCTCATATGGAAAATTTATGTGCATACATCACTGCTGTAGCTTTATCAGTTAGTGGAGCCAAAGCAAAAGCAAGTCTTTGGATGGCATGAGATTTACATTGTTGGGTTTTTTTCAAATGCATTTATTCTCAAATTATGTTTTTATTATGTATTGGGGATAATTTAGTTAAAATTTAAAAACTGGAGAGTGGCATGAGACAGGAGTCACGTCCAGTGTTAATGCTGAAAGATCACTGGCAAGCACAAGCCCATTTAATAAAAAAATGGAAACTTCACAGAGTTCAAGATATCTTCTTATCTTTTGCTGTTGAATGGCCGACAAAAGGAAGGGAAGTGACTCACTATCACTGAACTAAATGGAAGATTCATACTTAGTTCAGTTATGAGTTTAGCTATAAATTATTCAGGAAAAGTTGTTTCCTGACAAAGAAATTGGCCTTTTGTGTTCACAATGTCCTAGCAATCCTATCAGGTAGCACCTGAATGCAGAAAAAGAAATTGAGATCCACTGCTGAAAATGTAGTTTGTTGCTATCAGTCTATTGAAGAAGGATGTTAAAAATTATACTTCTGAAAGTGAAAGAAAATTTCATAAAATTCCAACAGCTTTGATACTTGAGCTGTGCATAAGTACAATTTTTCAAAAAGGTCATATCTAAACTTTCTAGAACACAGAAATATATAATATTTTCTCAGATGAACTTGAGGACTTAAAAAATGACACCATGGAGTCTTCAGCATTTTTTTGTGGCAGGTAGATCTTGGGCTATGTCAAAATAATTCAAACTCTTCTTGAAATAATACAGGAATATAATTCAAATAAAATGTAGATGCTGACACAGCCTTTTACCTGCTTAAAGGCCGGTTTTGCATTGAAGTCAGCAGAAATTCAGGATGTCATGAGCATTTTCAGCAGTACAGCACAAGCACTTGAGCTGTTTGAAAGGCACCTGTGACTCAGGTGTTCAGGAGGCCCCTCCTGCCCTAGAGAAACCATGAGAGCCACTGCTCTGCCAGCCCAGCTGAAGGCCATGCTGGGCCCATGCATTAAAGAGCTTCCATTGCTTGTTGTGGAAGCAGGATTCAGCCCAATTCACCACAGACTTTTAAAGGGGTAGAAAGTGATTAATGTTAGAAAGTGATTAATGTTAGAAAGTGATTAATCTTAGCATAAGCTCCTGACGTAGTCAGACACCAGCTGGATGCAGCCATCTGCATGGAGGTTGGCAACAGCTGCTCCCACAGCCTGGCAGAGGAGCTGGCAGAGCACAGGGAGGAGCTTGTGCACATGGGGAGTGCATGCTGAAGGGCTTCGTTACCCTGCTATTTCTCCATGGGACGAAAGAAATTTATTGTACTTTGGAAGGGAAGGAGGCATGTTAAGCTTCTATGAGATGTTGAAAGAAAAAACAAACTCAAACAAAAACAAAAAAAAAAAAAAAAAAACACAAACCAGGAGTACTTTACAAAACGGTTTGAGCTGTAAGAGAGAAAGGAATGAATTTGAGATCCCATGAGTAACTCCTGTAAAGATTTCTCACATCCATTTTCCAAACAACTTAGAGTACTGACTTCACCCTTTTCTTTTTGAGGCTACAAAACCTTCTTGTGTTTAGGGATTAAAAACAACCAAAAAGGTCATCTTCTCCATCATCTTCCTCTCTGCAGATAACGGTGACTGGTACATACTTGTATTGAGAGCGTGTTTGCTCTACGTGTTGTAGAAATTCCTTACTTTCCTCTCAAGGAAAGTGTTGGAGGCCTGGCACAAGTACCCAGAGCACCTGTGCAATGTCAACACAGAAGGTGCCAAAATCTTGTCCAGAAGTACTCTTGGCTGATGGGTAAAGGCATGGCCTACTTTCTGTATGAGAGTTCGAACTACAGAATGTCATGAGATCCTTTCAGACTCTTTAGGATTTGGTGGTTTTGCAGAGTTAATTTCAGCTCTCTCTTAGGCATGTCCTTTATAGCTCTGGCCACTGCCCATCACAATGACAACCTCATGCAGCAATAATGTTTAGAGATGAGGAAAAACTCATTCTTGCAGCCTAAAGACAGAACGGTAAGATGTTAAGTAAACTCTTCTCTTCTTTCTAACTTCTGCTTTTAAAATGGATTTTTTTCCCCAAAGGAGAAGAAAAATCTGGAAGTGAGATACAGCCAAATTCTTCCTAGCCTCCTTCTCCCCTAACTCCCCAAGTAACTTTCTGAGAAGAAAAATAGTGAAATGCTTTCTTACTTGGCAACTTCTTATCATTTTCTCTAAACAGTACATGTACCTACAGCGCCTCTTTTTCCTTTCAACTGGAGATCTCAAATATTCTACATTATTATGTGACACAAACTAAGGCAGCAAACCATGATTCTAAAAAATGACCAGGAGTACTCATCTTCAAATGTTTCTCTGTCCTTCCTCAGAAGAGATGTAGCTGAGCAGACCCCACACAGCAAATACCTCCAAGCACCGCAAAGAGACTCTGCTTTCAAAGAAGAGGAATCATCTGTTTTGAACAGCACTTATATTTTTTATTCTTCCCAGCAGTATTTTTTTTAAATCAAGCTATTTTCAAAAAAGCTTCTTTAACTTTCTTTGTCTGTCAGTAAAATTCTTTACATGAGCAAGCTGTCTTGTAAAGACAATGTTTTTCAACTGGATTAACCCAAATGAAGTATTTCATTCACAGTGAGACATTGGATAAAATGGCCCTGTTTTCTGAAGAACTCTCAAGAACTTGACCCATACAGGCTAAAATAAATTAATGAACTAGAGATTTTTATTTAAGTGCTTCAGTTTGAGAATTTGAGCACTTAAATTTAGGCTTGTATTTTTCCTTAAATTAAAAGAAATTTGAAGTGTGAAGAGATGTGGCACGCTGGCTAATGCAAAGCTGTCCAGATCAATTTTCCCTGCTGTACCAAAATACAACACATTTTAGCAATCTTGTGGTTTCTCTTTGTTAAAAGCTGTAGTTAGATCTAAAATACCAATATTAATCCACAAAGCTCTTTGCTTTAAAAAAATACTACAAATCACTATCCTGCGTTAGTACAAGCCAAATTTTGCTGCCCCTAGTAGAAGTTCTGGGTTCTGAACAAAGCTGCTGTCCCCATGAGCACTCTGTGTTCTGCTGACCTGGGGGTGGGGAGCTGCAGTGGCTGGGAACAGTGAGCCCTGCGAGTGCTCTGGCCACTGCATTGTCTCACCACTCAACAGTCAGGTAACTTTAACCCCCTGGTTTAGCCCTCATTTTTACTAACTTTAGATTCATCTGTGGGAGAGAAGCTTCACTGGCTTCAATGCAAAGAAAAGGGGAATTTCACTCGCTTCCAACAATTAGACTGAGTTCTCTGCTAAGATCAAAGGTGTCTGGTTGATGAAAAGCTGTTTCCTTGAGGAGTACAATTCATTTTGGCCAAATAGCACTCAAAAGTGTTAGAAGTACTTGAAGGGACAGTGGCCTAGCTCAGTAAAACACCTAAGCACAGCCCTGCAAGCTGCAGTAGGTTTGGGAAGTCCAAGCCACAGAGCACACCCCACCACCTGGCCAGGGTCTGCAGGCTGGTGGCAGAGCAGGCAGGGGAGATTTACACAGTCACACAGCTGCTCCCATTCTCATCCCAAGAAGTGAGCTCAGAGCCTTACTCAGAAATTATTTAAGGTTCAGCTCCAGCCCCTTTCAACATAGTCATCAGCAGGTGACCTTTTTGGTGAACCTCAGTGGCAGGCAGCCCTCAGCAAAGGGGAGAGCAGAGAGCAAGAGGCAGCAGGTGTCTGAGAAAGCTCCTCTTACCAGAGTCCACCAGCAATGGCATTATTGGTGACACTACAGAGACAGGTCTTGTGCCGAACATAAGGCTCCTAACTGCTGATCTGCATCAAAACAGGGGGCCTAAGTAACTAACTGATAAAAATCAATATAAGCAACCAATTTACCTTTTTTTTAGGAGATTAACAGAAAATATTGTGGGTTATGAATTTTAGAGATGGATCTAAATTCAAACCTCATGTTGAAGGAGCAGATCTCAATGAGAATATAGTGTCTTGCCACACATTTTTGCATTTAATAAACTCATATGCACAACCCTCTCTGGGTGTTAGGGCTGGGTGTCAGGCTGGGATCTGCCCTTGCAGTTAAGATAGTAGTACTAACTCTTTTCTCTCTGAAAGTTACTTCCTATTAAAAATATTTGAAAACTTAACATGTAATAAGCAGAGAAATTTTTAAAAAAGCATAAGAAAGATGAAAGAATAAATAAAATTTATTTTTATCACTGAAGAACAGGGATGGAGATTAGTGGTAGAGAAGGCTGTTGATAGCAATTTAATACAGACCAGTGTCACAGTATGTTGCTGTCCTCCTCATCCTCCTCCCTCTAGCCTGACTCAACAAGGGCAGCTGCTAATCCTTCCATTTATAGCACAATGCGAACCTTTCTCTGTTCACTAATCCAACACCACATCAGCAGCATCAGCTGATGTGCAGCCCCTTTTGCCTACAATCCAGTAGTCTCTGCCAGCATGCCTGATCCTGTATACATCTCCTGCCCAAAATTCAGTGCCTTGAAAGGGTTGTGGGGAGAGCAAAACACCGCCCCTTGAATGGTGCCTCAGGAGAACTTCGGCAGCCTGAGTTTTAGTTTGTTTTCTTTAAAAAGCAGTTCAGTCGGATAGAGCTCAGATTTACAGGACAAAGAGGGAGAACAAACCCTGCTAAACTGTCATTAATCTCACTGCAGTGGTGGAAAGAAATTCCATTTGTGTTCCTAGGGAGGGTCTTTGCTTTATGATCCAGCAAATGCTGGATGCTACAAGGCTGTTTGAACTTGTGCCAAATTCAATAGAGACCCACAGCAGTGGAAAACAAAGTCATTTAATTCTACAGCTAACTAAACTTCTACTATAAATTGTAGGGATATACCGTACAATTAAATCCACAGTTTTGGCACTTAGACTAGTTTGAATTTGAATCCACCAAAATTTTTTATAAATAAATCCTAATTTTTTATAGTCGGTAACATGCAGAGAAGGAAGATCTGTAGAGTCCAGCAAAATTAGTTTTTCTTTGGTCTTCATTCATCTTTTGCACCATTCTGGTAATACAGAGGGCTGAGTACTGATACAGATCATGCAAGAAAGGACACCTTCATAAAACTGAAGAAAGTACACTTAAGCTGCATGCAACTGCATAATACAAAAATGGCATACCACCATTAGTTTAAAAAAAATGAACAAGACAAAGAGCAAATGAACAGAAACTAAAAAATCCAAACAACTCTACAATGCTCTGCACATGGTAAAGGGACATTGATATACAAGGCCTCACATCCATTTGTTTGGTCCTGAGAAATTGTGGGATACTTTGAATTAGCTGCTACATAATGCATGGCATAAAACACAGCACATAATTCACTCATACACTTTAAAAGTATTTGAATTTTGAGATCCTCTGTGATACCAATAACATAAGACGCATTTAACCTTTACAAAGAATAAAATGTTAATGTAAAATTAAATTTATTTTTATTCAGATGTAATAACCTCTCTACCACATCCAGAATATAGATTGTTCCTCCTTCACCCACTATGTTTTTTCCCAAGGAGAACTCTCCAGGCAGAAAATATCTCCTCTTGTGCTTGCAAACAGCTTGCTCAGAGGCAGCAGGACTATGCACACATGCAAGGACATGGGCTGCAGGCACATCCCTGCACATAACACAAGGTAGTTCAAAGCATTTGGAAGCTGCTTCTGCATCTCTGGCAACTCCCAAGAGAAAATGGTCTCAAAAGTGGGACATGGCCTTGGTACTGATGGGGAGGGTTACTCAGCTCCAGGGACAGCATACTGCATATTCCTGCAAGTTGCTTTGCACTACAGTGAGTACCAAAGAGTTTTTATTTAAAAAAAAAACCAAAACAAAAAATCAAAAACCACCCAACCAGGAAAGTGTGTGAAAGTGTCTGAGAGCTGAATTATATCAGCTCTGAGGTGGCACACAGTAGCAGTAGTTAGGAACAAAACAATCACAGGAGGCAACTTAACAATGTAATTGGTTTCTGCATTAGGTCAGAGTTGCTACAAACCTCACCCATCTGTGAAGCAGTCAGATTTTCTGCTTGAGTTCAGCTTTATCCAGTAAGCCAAGGGAAAGAGGAGTACAGAGGATGTAGACATGAAAAATTCTGGCTCTTGGCTTTGGAAGAAACAGGAAACAAAATTACATTGTCTGAGGGACTTCCTACAACACAGCAATGCAAGGCAATCAGATTCAGCTATCAGCAATACAGAACACTACCCGATTACCTTAGAACAAAAATACTCCCTGTACAATTTCACCTTCACAGTTCAGCTTGCTGTGTTAAAAAGTGAAAAATAAAGAATAACTCCTTGAGAAAGTGCCCAAAAAGGTCATAACAATAATGTAGAGAGTGATGTAATACAGCCGGTGTTTGGAAATGTGGCATTTTGTTTACAATCATTACAATCATGACGATTTCATGCAGTTGAGGTTGCCCCGATATGCTCGGGTGTGTAGAACCTGTGCACTTCAGGACCTTATGTCCTTCTCTCATTAGACTGCACATATGACAGAAAATACCATGCCAGAAAATACCATGCTGCCCCCCAGCATGAAGCATGAAGGAATTTCCCCATGCAGGAGCAGGAGGGGGGACACATTCACCAGGTCTTGTCCCATGACTGCAGGGAGGGGTTCAGCACATGCACCCAGACTGAAGCTCAGGAGCAGGCACGAGGCTCACAGGCTGGGAACCAGATTAAAACCTGTTTGCTAAAGGCCTCTGCAGATAACCTTGCACAGAGCCTGGCACCCATGGGCAGTAGGGAGGGAACTCCTCAGTGACCCCACGGGGAGGACAGCCATCCCTGGCACAGGAAAGTGATCTCCATACTATATTTGTTATACAGGGAAAGTGAAGGCTGCCCTGGACAGACACACTAAATACAAAATGGCTTTCTCAACCATTCCTTTAAAAAAAGTTTCATTGTTCTGCTGTAAAGAGAGAGAGAAAAAAGCTTTAAAAGCTTTGCCTGCTGGTGTCCATCACTCTGCATCTGAAAAGCCTCCTTCACTACTGGCAAATGCATATTATGCCTCCACATATGGAGGCATTTCCCCAAAACCCAAAGACAAGCAAAGTCTGGCTCTTCTAGCCAACAAGGAGATGAAGCATCCGTGGGCTGATCAGCATTTTTAAAAGGAACCAGAAGCTTTTAACATGAGCTTCATTTGAATAAGAAACAAAAGCAAGATTTAAACTGAAATTAAATTCAGTGACACAAAAGGCTCTACTGTGATACAAAAAATATAAACAATGTGGTTCTTAACAAGACACTGATTTATGTTTCCTTTATGGAAAAAAAAATCTTTACTTTTTAAAATCAGTACTGGTAGGAACATATAGTCCAGTAAATAACATTTGTTACTTTTCTCTTTCCCCCACTCCCTTCCCACCCAGTTATATGCTTATAAAGAGAGAGCGATTACAGCAATTTCAATGTCCAGACACTTGAGAAGATGTTGCAGTGAACACAGACCACCCACTAACTTCATCTGCCTTGTTTTTGTAGTCCTGAATTTTTTCAGATTTTCCACTGCCCTTG